ATTTATAATAGTTTAAGCAAAAATAAAGAAAAAATAAAATTAAGAAGTTTTTTTCTAATTTTTAAATTTTTTTTTATTTCTTCAATTATAAATATAATATCTTTGAAATAATTTATTTATTTATTGTAATGAACAGTTTCATGCAATTTTTTACTTGTTTATGAAAAAATTTATAATATTGGATTACTGTATAATAATGTTTTATTGTATTTATTATTGTATTATATTGTATTATATTTATTATATATTATAAATATTTTGAAATAAAAATATTTGCATCTGATCTTAATTCATATTAATTGAATAAATACATTTTTTTTTCATTTATCAAAACATACACACACATATATATATTTATATATCTCTCGAAGCAGTTTATTATTTCATTATTATCATTAATTTATGTTAAAATTATTATTATATTGGTTTTTGTAAATAGTTATCTTATATATAATAATATAAATTCAAATATATGTATATTAATAATAAAAATAATAATAATACTAATAAAATAATAATATACTTCGAAATATTATTATAATCAATAAATATATCAGATAAGTCAATCATTAAATGTTATAGTCAATATATTCAGGCAAATAAAAATTTTTGTTCAACAGTTAATATTAGCATACAAAAACTTTTAAATGGAAAAATAAAAAATAAAAAAAGAATATTTTCTGAAATATATTATATTAAATATACTATATACTATAAATAATTAGATATTTTTTGTTTTATTTAAATTTCTTAGAAAAAAGAATATGAGAAAAATAGCCAAAATTAAATTATTTATGCATTAATTTTCGAAAAAATAACTAGGAATTTCGAAAACAAACTAGAATTCTATATTATCTCTATTTTCTATATGTTCTCATTAAATATTTGTTAAATTTATTATAAATAATACTTTTATATTTGAAATAATTTCATTTAATTTCTGAAATTATTTATTTTATTAGTTTTTAAAAATAATTTATTTATTTTAACAAAATTTTAACAAAAAAATAAAATTAATGAACTTAAGTTTTTTAAATTAACTAACTATTAAGTTCAAATTATGGAAAAAAAATTATTTTTGTGTTTTTTTAAACACAAAATTTTTTTTTAAATCTTTTTTGGAGATATTAACTAATATTATCATAATTGTGATTTATAATAAGATATAGTTTCAATTTGTAGTATCATTTTGTATCATTATGTTTTAAATTTAATAATTGATATTTATTCCATGTAATTTTTCTAATTAAATTTATACTAACTTATAAATCATGTTAAATGATTAATTAGCATATTTTATTTTTATTAATAAATTCCAAATTTTATTAATGTAATTTTTAATTCAGCAAGAATATAAAATATTTTGAAATAATTACATGAAATTATATATAAATTACAAGAAATATCTTAATATATAGACTACATAATAAATAGTAAAATCATCCAATCTCTCATTTTCGATTTCATCAAAACAGAACTTATATATGAAATATGATGAATTTACTACAAAATTACACCAGAATCTCAATAGTATATTCTTATTGTAATGCAATTTTTCCCATTATATATATGAAAAAATACATTTAAACTTTGCGATAGATAGAAAAAATAAATACAAAATATAATAATATTGGACGATAATAGAACAAATAATAATATATAAAATATATTTATATAAAATAAAAAATTAAAATCATATACAGAATAAGATAGAAGTAGATATTTATATAATCAGTCATAAAAATATTCATTTATATTAACAAATTTAATAAATTTTATTATTAAAATTAATAAATAATTCTCTTTTGAATGAAATATTATGATCATAATGATATATGGAATAATTTTTTAATTTTTAATTTTTAACTTTTTAATAGAAAATCACTTCGAGAAGATGGAATTAACTTTTAATATCATTTTTTAAATATAACTTTGTAATGATATAAAATAGAAAATATTAAATTATAAAATATTCAAGTTTTGATATTCTAACATGCTATTATAAAAAATATTTCTAATCGAAACAAAATATAAAAAAAAAATTTAAGTAATAATAGTACTTAAAAGATTTTCCATTAAAAAATAAATTATTTTAATATATTATTATTCTGTCATATCTATTATATTCTATATATATTTATTAAAATCAGATTTTTCAAAATAAATAAATTTTCTTAGAATATTTTGCAACTAATATATACGCATGAAAATTAAATTTTTGGTAAGAATATAAAGTAAATGCTTTCAATTATTATTAATTCAATAAAATGAATCAAAAATCAACGATCAACAAACTACATCATTTAAATACTTGTATTTCTTAATACAATATTATAAGATTATATATATATAATATGCATAATATGCAAATAATATAAATTCTAATTATAATGTTTATATAACTTGAATTAGAAAAGATTCATATATCTATATATCTTACAAGGAAATCTAATTTAAAGATCTTGATTTTAATGAAAGTTTATATATATACAATATACATTTTATATGTAGAGAAATTTTTTTATCAATAGCAAATTTCTATAAGAGTGTAAATGAACCCTCAAAAATTTCAGTAACTTTTCAAAATTTGAGTATTTTTTTAATTTCGTCTGAGACTGTACAACGAGGGAATAAATTTTCCAATCAATATTTCAATCATGACATGAAAAATTTCATGAAAAAAATTAGAATTGCATATTGAATTTAATTTCTGAGCGAATGGAAATATAAAATATTTTTATTAATATTATTATTTTTTAATATTGCATAAATTAATTATTTTATTTATTTGATTAATTACAAATAAATAAATATATACTTAAATACAAATAATAAATATGGTATACTTAAATTTATATATATAAATATATATAAATAATGAGAAATTTATTTTCAATTATTTATTTTTTACTATAATATTAATATCATTATATGCTTATAATTATTTATTACATTTATTATTTAATTTCACTTCTTGTAAGAATTACAATTAAGAAATATTATTTTTATTATTATTTACCAAAATGTTCGCCTTGTCTAAAATTTCTTTAATTAAATAAAAAACACAACATCAATCGAAATACTTATTTGATAAATAATAATTAAAATTATTTAAAATAATTACTTTTAAATTATAATATGAAATATATTGCATTTCATTTAGATATGCCTGGATCTAATTATATTGACATTTCATGGTATTAATATTAGATTAAAGAGAACAGACAAAGAGCACGTTCATACGAAGGGACAAGAGGTAGAGGGAAAGATTCAGTTAGGAGAATCGGCGACAAAGCAATAGCAGTTCGACTCCAAACGACCAAGTCGCGACGAAATCTCCAGCTAAGAACCTCCTGTTCGTGGAAGAGGCATTGGATCGTATGATTTTGCCTCCATGAATTACCGAACGAGATTCCAGAGCAAATCCTGACGCGCGGGGAATATCTTGTTTCTTTTCCATGAGAAGTAGAGGCCGATTTTATCCCGATTCGCTGGTTGACGATCGCCTTTACACGGATTCCATCGAGGAGCCGAGGCATTCCAGTCTCCATTTCGTCCCGTGTACATTTCACCATTGGGATTTGTTCCACCAGCTCCGCGGAATCGGGATATTTACGATTTACAGGCAGAGAGCAGAACTCATGAACTCGTCTCACCGCGGTACCAGCTCTTTTGTCGGCCTCGCATCGTTTAACTCCTTCGCATTTGTTCCCGGGAAACGGTACCAGAAGCTTTGTTCCTTTGAAGCTTTAGTCCAACTAGATCGGAACAATACTGCTGAGATATTTGTAGCGATTATTATATTTCTAGTTTACTTACTAGTTTACTTGTAATATGATAAATTTTATATTATCAAATTGAGAATAATCGATTTTTTCAATTTTTATTATTAATTTATTTATTTCGACTAAAATTCTAGGATATTTATTTATTTTTTTTAATTTCAAAGACAATTTTTATATATGTATTTTTATATATATAAATTTTCGATCATTTTATGAACAAATAAATGATAGAAGAAATTGAGATTCGTTTAAAGGATAAATTGATTAATTGTTAATTGCAAAAATGATAAATGTAGAAAGATAAAAAAATATCGATTAATTAATGATTTCTGAGATAATTTCAAGTAAAATTTTTTTTTTTACAAAAACTTTCGTTACGATTTTATTAACGATACAATTTCAATGATTCATCAATAAATATTATTTTCCTTTAACGTAAATTTTTTTAAATTTTTCGTTCCACATATTGATTAAAGGCCTAACTTTATTTAACCAAAAAAGGAGATTAATTAAATATAGCAAATTAATTAATTGTTATAATTATAATTGTAATAACATCGCATCTATATATACTGGACTGTGGAAATATACATAATAAAAAATAATTTTTACTAGTTATCTATCTTTGATATCATTTGTATCAATTGTAGTTTCAGCATATTGTTGAAAAATTATTATTTATTGAAAAATTGGCTATGTAAGTTATTATGTATATTATTATATATATAATATTTTTTTTTTAAAGATGTTTTATGTTTTTACGTTCTCTATAATTACATTATAAATATTAAATGAATCTTTTAAATTCTAATAAATTCTAATAAATCTTGTTTATTATTAATATTTTTTTTTACATATAAATAATTAAAATCAAAGAAGAATATTGAATCCAAAATAAACGTTTATATCTAATTAATTTAATTTTTATGTTTTCTAAATTTTATAGTGTTATTATCTAAATATTATATTCTAAAATTTTATATTGTTTCTATAAA